ATATATATATATTTTTCAAGCTTGGTAATACAGATTGCAGATTTCGACTATAATAGCATTATGAAGATGAGGTCTGCAGACATAGATAAGTTCAGACATCTTTAGATATTACGGTAAGAAACATGACGGCTCTCGTCCAAGCAGCTGAGTATTTTACGACAAGGCCCGGTTCCGACCTTTGCTCAACTGATCTCTGCGAATAAGAGCGGCAGCTGTGCTGATAATGCTGTGTGAGGTTGACAGAACCCGCTTTCAACGCCTTGGACAACTCTGAGATTACATATATTCGCTACTCGAAGCAATCCTCAGGCACTCACCGTCAACATAATGGTTTGGAGTCAAGGCCTTAAGAAACGATTCGCTGTTCGGTTGGGCTAGAGTTGCGCTTGACGAATAACTCGCAATGTAGGAGACTGAAGATATGAAGACGACAAGTAGGAGGCATCTAGGCTGCTCTTCACTTTATGGGAACCGACATCCGTCTTCTCTTCCTCCGGGCTCCCCAAATATGTCGTCTATAGACCCAGTATCGAGCCCTATCTACTAAGCGGTCTCGAAGACTCGAGAAAGCAGCCGAAGGCCTGTACTGTGGCTGATGCCACGAAAACCCTGGACTCGTCTCGTGAGTGCCACAGGGTTGAGATCATTCAGCGTCTTTTCCTGGAGACATAAGAACTTGACATGGACGCTTCGCCAGCTTAGTTTAGGGTTCGCAATGCAGCAGGGTAGGATAGAGCTAATAGAGTACTTGGAGAAATATTATTGCATTGATAGGGTTCTGCAATACTTCTATGGAGGATCCACCTATGTGAACCATCATCGTCTGTGGAACTGGTCTGTTACTCTTAAGTATTATTATTGATTCCTCCTTCTATTATAAATATAGTAATCTTTATAGGTTATATAGGGCTCTATTTAGCTACTAGATATGCGTATGCCCTAAGTTTATATACTCTTGTATCTAGAAGGCTATTAATGTACATATTTAAAGTACTATCCTCGGTGGTTTCCTGCGGCCGGGTTTGCAAACCCCTACAACTCACGGACCACCGCCATTCCACAACGCAAGACAGCATTCCAGCACAGCTGCGTCCCAGCTAAAGAAGGTATGCTACAGGGGAAATACAGTGGTGCATATTGCTTTTCCCCCGTCTGTGCAACCATAGCCTCTGGGTCCACCTAGTTGCGGTGGATTCCGAGATGTCATCATTCTCCAATGACTAGATAGATGCCCGATTGTGTAACCTCCCCTTGACTCGCGAATTCACCTCATCCTTGCTTGACCAAGACATGCTCCGTACACGGGTCCAAGACTCTGCAATCAGCTAACAATTCCCTCGTAGGGATAACACATCAGCAGTACATATTGCAGCTTGTTGACCACATTGATAACATACCTTACTCACACACCACACCCTCCACCAGACACTTTTCCCAATTTTTAACTCCTCCCAATTATCAAAACGTGGTCTCTCTCGCCACCATGACCAATTCCACTTCGACTCGCGACGTCAAACCCACATCTACCGCCGAGTTCACCGACATCCTCCACACCGCCAAATACTATGTCGATGCTCTCCGTACTGGCGACGTTGAGTTCAGTCGCAAGGGCTTCCACAGGGACGCCACAATGTCCGGCTATCTCGGCCCCGAGTTCTCAACAGGTCCGATCCGGAATCTGTTCGACCTGATGCGCGAAAAGGGGGGGACCCCCGAGTTGACCTATCACCTCACGGTGCTTGCAACCACGCCAACTACCGCGATTGTCGAAGTGGACTCTGAGCTCGAGACGGAGGGGTTCAGGGATCATTTGAGTCTAGTCAAGGTTGATGGCAGGTGGCAGATTGTTAGCAAGATCTTTCATATATATGAGGCCAAGGCTTAGATGCTGGATGGGAGGGTTCTGTGGTCTAACTGTGGTGCAAGCTTTGAATGTTGCGAATCCAGATGGTCTTTCCATCAACCTTACAATTATCAAGATATCCTGTATCCAGACTTCCGGTGGCATGTTCATCGTGATGGCACTTCAAGTCGCTTCTCCAGTTTCACACCTGGTTTTTCATAAAGTGCATCGACACCCCATAGCCCTGGCCTCTCCGTTGATTTACTGCGTACAATGCTCCATGTCTTTTTCCAGTTTTGATAAAGCCATATTCCAGCTACTTACTATTTCTCACGCCTACATTCTTCAAGCTCTCCGGTCTGAGCAGGAAAGTGATCAGAGAAAAACCGCACGAGGGAAGTGAGGATGCTTTCCGGACTATTGAGTGCTCTTGATGTCTCCCGCTTCAGCTCAGCCGCGTTCGTGACATCGCTTTTCTCCTGAAAGCAATAACCGCCGGTCAGCTGCATAAACCCAATAAATCTCTTCAAAATCTCAAGCTCGGGCACGCCGTAAGTTTCAAACGCCTCCCACGACGGCAGAACGGGTGCGTATCTCGTCTTTTTCCCAGTAGCTGTGGTGCTGTTAGACGTTCGGGTCCGCGCAGAGTGTATGTGTTTTCCGCGACTTACCCTTCTCGAAGGCTTCAGCCATGCCCTTTAACGACTGAATCTCACTGATTGCCTGGACATATGCGCCATCCCATCTCTCCGGATCCAAGAAGATGCCCTGCACTATGTCTCCGAAATCGTGCGTTATATCTACCCATGGGACTTCGCCGGACTCACCGATCTCCGGCATCCGGAAGGTGAGATAGCCCTCTTCGTCCTCGATATGAGGAAATCCGCCGAAGCACGCGCTTTGTTCCTTATCAAGGAAGTTCTCGAGGTACCAGCCAGCCCCGATTGCGGTGAAGGTCTTGAATTTGCAGATGGCCCGGATGTATTGCTCGGTTTCCCACTTCTCTGCAGCGCGGGTATGTAAATAGTGTGTTTATATAGCGAGGGAGTAGGGTTTTATCTCCCACTCACTATCGTAAGCATCCAACTGGATCTGCCTGCGCGTCATCTCAAAGCACGGCGCCCCAGAACTGTACACCAGGTGAGGGACACCGGCGGCTACGGCGCTATCCACCACGTTCCGCCCCAGGTCAAACTCAGTCGGGCCATTCTTCTCGAGGAAGATCTAGCACATAATTTCAGCGCTCGGTTCAACTCAACATCAGAACGTGAAGTAGACATACCGGATCAAAAGAATTTGTGTTGATAAAAGCCCCCCACGATCCCTGAAAGGCTTCCAACATCTGTTCCGAATTCCACCCGTCTGCCCTCACCATCTCCACTCCCAGAGTGGAGAGCTCTCTGCTAGCGTCTGACTGAGGGTTGCGCGTGATAGCCCGGACTTTGAATTTGGGATTTTTGGCGAGAGACCGGCAGACAGAGCTTCCTTGGTTTCCCGTCGCGCCGAAGACGGTGATGAGCATTGGGATTGAGCCCATTTCGTGAGGTGGTACTTTGGACTATTGGCAGCAAATTGCATATGTTTTGGATAGTTCGGTGACTTATACCGTCTAACGAGATCCCGTGCTGCAAGTCTTTGCTAACGTCTGCGATCTTTGAGAGTTGCCCATGGTGAAGGATGTAACCCCTTTTCATGTCCCCCTAGGCAAGGACTTCCTCCCTGGCCAGTCATGATACACTCCATGCATGAATTAAGGAGTATCATGGCCAGCCAGCGTAGGGGATGGGGCCTAACAAGGTTGCAGTAATCCATTACATCTACATACTCCAGGTACCAGTGCATAAAATTTTAATTGTTAACCTGACTCTGTGCATTGCGCACAGTGGGAGTTGCGCCATTGTCAGAGCCTGTGTTGGACAGTAGGTAGCAATCCTTATTCATAGAAATCGATATATGCAATCTGCCTTGCACCCCACCTGCCGTCTAGGTTCCAAGGACCACCGGACTATGGCCACGTACTATCGAAACAGCGGTCAGACTACGAGAAATTCAGGCATTCAGTGGTGAGTGCGTCGTTGGAGAAACTAGACAAGATCGTGTGATATATTCTATCCTGTAATAAGCCATTTTATCTCGAGAGCATTAGTAAGAAGCCCTGGTCCATATCTAATATGCACCCTAGCATGCCTGCTGACTCCGCCGATCATCCTGCCGACTCCGTCTATCCTAGAGTCGATAGAAATCCCATTTCCGCCAGCTCCCACCAAAAGAATCCTCAAAAATTTATGTTACCAGTATTATCTAGCAGTAGAGTAGCAGTCGACTAATTAGACTGTGTCTTGATTAGCAAGCTAGATACCTCCTATTTCTCCGTAGTTAGAGCTTTCTGGTATGATATTAATCATAGTCGTACTTTGCTGAGATATAAACTCTGACGCAAAAGAATAGCTAGTCACTCTCTTTGGCGCTACAAAATCACGGCGCGGAGCTACGTATCTAGGACTCGCTTTAAATTTACTAGGTACAGTACCCTACTCAAAGCAACGCTACCTTATATCTAGAATATACTAAATAGCTGTTATACTTTTTTTTACCATAACTAAAGTCTCTTGTTGATGGCATTTCAGTTTTGTGCATGGCTACCGTTCGGGCAGGGCTTGATTCTTTATTCTCCTCTGTTGTTAATTTTGTCTTGTCTTTCGGTCTTCGTGTTCAAAGGCCGGGAAGGGGGGGGGGAAGGGGTTTATTAGTATACAGCATGTAGCTTTATGCCCCGGTGATAAGCCGGCTACATACTCCCTCCTTTAAACATCACCCGATCGGATCCACAGCTCTGCCATGTCGAAAAGCCTCTTTGATATTGTCTCCGAGCTAGATAAGAATGTACCCCCTTAACTCTGCACCCTTTTCAATATATAGCTACTAACAAGGTATAGCTTCCCATACCACGAGGAGGCCTAGGTGGATTTCGAGCGCCCATATTGAGGCAATAAGACGATTCGGCTCGGGAAGGGTTGGTGCCGAATTCACGGGATGACCACATTAGAGTACAAAGCGCACTTTCATCCCTTTCTTCAAAACATTGTTGGTACATACCCACAATATCCACGGACAGGTTGGGATTGCGTATTCTGTAGTGGGCCTATGGACCATGTATTGGGGCGTTGTAACCTCGTTGACCAGCCCCTATCTAACATTCTGTTTACCTCCTAATCATCGAGGGTTTATCGAAGGCCTGTTCAGTTTCACAGGTACAGGTCAGCAACTCTGTACCACAGTGCTTGCTGTCCACCCAAGTGTACGATTTCTGATCAGATCTGAGTCATACCTTGATCGCATAGTACGGTGAAAGACCTCTACAACTCAGTGCATGACAATAAAGGCAGCGAGGAGGAGCACCGGAAGACTGCAGTTAGTGCCAGCATATTCACATACCATTCAGGTCTACCAACTCCTTGCTTTGTCAACAGGCTGTTCACAGACACATTCCACGTTCTCGTTGGGTAGTGTTGAGTGGTCTAAAACGGTTGGCCATGTACTCGTAGCCGTGGGCCTGAACCACACCTTTGCAGGTAACTTCCCCTCAATTTTGGGTTTGGTCAGGCCAGTGGCGACCGGTATGCGTATGCCCTGAAGCTGGCACAGGTCGAGAGCGGATATAAAAAGAAGGCAAGCTAATACATCAACGGCAAATGAAAACAACTGCCTAGATCAAAATATCCTGACTCCCAACCGAGCTCATCAAGATCACACTGTTCAGGACAATATGACGAAAACCCTTCCCACTGCAGAAACGACTGCAGTCCCCAATTCCAGCGGTATTACTGTGATCATTGTGGGACTCGGCATAGCAGGACTTACGACAGCGGTTGAGTGCCACCGAAGGGGGCATTCTGTTATTGGGTTTGAAAAACGAGAAGATCATCACCAGTTGGGTAGGTTTGCCCTTGGAGAAGTTCCCTCTTCCTAGTCTCATATCTAATAACCTCCAGGTGACCTGGTAGGTTTGGGTGCGAATGGCATGAATGTGTTGTCCCGGTGGGACAAGTCGACGAGACCAGCTATTGACGCTATACGCGCCGCCATCAGCTCCATCGACTACTACGATAGTGGCGGCGAGCTCAAAGGCAGCCTTCCATATTCTGGAGATGACCAGCTCAACGTTCACGTGGTGCAGAGGTCGGGACTGATTGATCTGCTGTATGGGAAGGCTAAAGATCGCGGCATTGATCTTCGATTTGGAGTCAGAGTCTGTGATTACTGGGAGTCAGGGGGAAACGCAGGAATCGTGTTGGAGAATGGGCACAAAGTAGCTGCTGACTGCGTGATTGCTGCTGATGGGGTACATAGCAAAGCTACAGGTATCTTCACTGGAGAAGATGCAGCCCCGTACTCGACAGGTGCTGCCATATATCGATCGCATTTTGATGCGCGCGAGATTAGGGATGACCCAGAGGCAAACTGGATTCTTAACAGCACAGCTCAGGCAGACAACGTTAATATGTACTTCGGCAAGGATACCACTCTTTTGGTGGGTACCGTCGGAAAGGGTAAATATGTGTCTTGGAATATGCCACACAAAGTAAGCAGTCCCCTTGCTTTTCCTTTTGGAATGTCTCTAATATCCCTCAAGCAAGTCGAAGGACTTAGTAATTCCTGGCTTCAGCCTGCAGACCCTCAGCGTGTCCTGGAATTCGTTAAGGACTGGCCAATAGGTCAGAAGCTTACTGCCATCCTGTCAAAGACCCCGCCACAGCGCTGCTGGAATCATTCGATTCTAGCACGGTATCCGTTGTCGACCTGGGTCTCAAAGGGTGGTAGAATGATCGTGATTGGCGATGCGGCGCATCCTATGCACCCAAATCTCGCTCAAGGAGCCAACCTGGCCATTGAAGATGCAGCGGTCGTTGCTATTTGCCTGGAGCTCTGTGGAAGGGAAAACGTGCCTATCGGTCTGCGGGTAATGGAGAAACTACGGTGTGTACTCTTGGCCATCTTGGCTGTAGGATCCTGCTGATAGATGATCCAGGCATAAGCGGGTTTCGGTGGTCCAGGCAGCTACGATCAAGGCGATGGAGAGGCAGTTCGATGCAAACTGGGATACTGATCAAGTTCAAGGGAAACCAACCTATATCCCACGCCCAGCCTGGTTACTGCGACATGACTGTGTGGTACACACATACGACGAATATCAGAGCGCAGCATTGGCTGTTGCGAATGGATCGGAATATATTCCAACAAACGCCCCTCTTAACGGTGTTTACGACGACATTCCGGAGCCTGCATGACACCAGTCGAATGATTATATGAGGCTATTGTAGCCACACTGCAAAGGCAGAGTAGCCCTGTCGTAAGTGTATACGGAAGGCTCAGATTCAAGCAGGTCGGGCTAAAATAGAGAGTATTATTCAGAGACAGTTAATCCGTCCGAAAATTATGGTTATATATTCCTCATATACACTACTGCCCTCTGGCACAAGGCATCTTATAAGATACGACTTTGAACCTGTTGCATTTTATACATGGAGCTACATTCTTCCTCCTCGAACATCCCCGCGATCAGCTCTGTAGCATATAGCACCATGTTGAAAAGCCTCTTTAATATTATTGTAGAGTAGGACAAGCATATATCCCCTTCAGCTTTGCCGCCTTTTGAATTAGTTACTCTTTCTCTTTGGTTCCGAGCCCCCTTATCGCGGTCGCTCGCCCTTCTGTTTTCTGTTTCCAAGCATCTACACATCAGCAGTCATAATGCCTGTTTCTCATTCGGATTCTCCAGCTGGTTTCGTCAGCTCTGCCTTTGGCGGGCCTGCGAGCCATGATAATTCGCGCCCTCTGTATATTGACGCGGATCGGCCTGATCGTGCAATTCAAGCCGGCGGATTAAGACGTTTTGTGCGGTCCCTGGTGGCTGGGTTCACGGCATACGGCATCCGACCGGGCGACGGTGTGCAGGTACAATTGAATGAAAACACCGTAATGGACTCTCTGGTCGAAATTAGACACGTTTCCCTTAGCTCATGAATCTGAACGTTATACATCCGGCGATCTTCTTCGGCATCATTGGTGCCGGAGGCGTGTACATGTGCTGCAAGGCTTCCACCTCCAGCTATGAGATGGGACATCTTATCCAGCTTGTGTTCCCGCGCCTGATCCAGACTCATTTCGATGCGTTGCCTGTCGTCCTGCCCGTATGTACAGTGTCTGGGATCGCCCATTGCCGGGTTGGCATTGCCGACGGATAGTCCATTGACCGCCAGTTCAATTTGCGAATGGGTCGCCATCGCCAACGACGCATGATGCCCAGCTGCTGACCACAGACCTGCTCCCCTTGACCATCTTCTGGCGTTTGGTAAAGACGATTGGGCCTGGTTGAATGGTCTCGATGCCCAACGGCCGCCGGCTACCATGTTCATGGCCAGCGGCACAAGCGGACTGCCCGAAGTAGCCGTGCGACGGAATTACGCGCTCATATCTCAGTATCGCGGGGTGTACTACGAACCGCCCTTCCACGTCACTCGGCTGGCCGTTCTGCCGCTGCACCATCTTCTGGCTGATTTTTGGACGAGTATTTTCCCCATCCGCTACAGCCATCCCGTCTGTATCATGAGGCGCTTTGACGCGGCAGGATTACAAAATGCAAGGCGATTCAGTATTACTGAGACCTACTTGGTGCCAACAATGGTTCAGGTTCTCACCCAATGCTCCCTCTCTGTGGGTGCGCAGCTGGCCACCCTCCGCTACGTAGGTGTAGCCGGTGGCCCCCAGACGAGGACATCCTGCAACAATTTCAAACTTTCCCCCTCCAAAAGCCTACGTCACACAGTGATACGGCATGACTGAGCTTGGCGTCATCGCCCGAAATCGGTACGGTGACCCAGTCCTGCGGTAAGCATTGGCTGTCGACTGAAGGGCTACGATTTTCGCCTGATCGACCTAGACAAGGGCAAGATCATCACTGCGGACGACTGTGCCGGCGAAGTATGCGTCCGCTGTCCCGGCATGGCCGGTTCTACACGGGCGACTAGAAATGGACACTACTTCATGGCGGGTTGATTGAAGGAGCTGATCAAAGTACGCGGGTAAGTTGTGCTTTCTTCTAGGCTGCGCTTCCATTTGTCGTGCGTCCTTTAACTAATGTGTCACCAATCTGCGATCCAGATATTCCATCACTCTGACTGAGTTAGAAGCTGCCATTATGAAACAACCTGCCGTTTGTTTCGCATCACTGTGCCAGATGGGAGTCCTGAGCTCCGCGGGCGTACGTCGGTCCCGTTGCAGGTGTGGTGCGGCCAACGGCCGACGAGATCGTCACCTTGGTACTACAGAGGATGGCAGGGTACAAAGCTTTGGACGGAGGAATCATGTTTGTATCTGCATACCTCGCACGGCCAGTGGGAAGGTCTAGCAGACCAAACTTATGCAGCATGATGCTCGGAGAGATGAACCGGTTCTATCCTTGTAGGTGCTTAGTTCGTCCAGTGACAACAAAAATCTGCTACAGTTTGCCACGCCCTATCAGCGTCCTATGTCCAAGAACCTTATACCAGAATTACCTAGTTTCAGGTAAAGGAGTCTTAAGGATGGTGGGTTTCTTGTAACGCTCAAAGTGGTCCATCGCCATTCCGAAGTTTTAGACTGCCTGTCCGGAAATGTTTCGTCGAAGTGGCGGTCAAGACATTTTTTGTATGTCTATTCTTCGCCCTTGCTTCCTATTTCCTGCATTCTGTGTGCCTGCTATTTGTCATTGACTAGCGGTGATCGAGCTTGCGTCGCCAGGAAATGGTTCCCTGAGGCCAACCGGCCTTGCAGTGGCCATGTTTCGGTGTCTAGGCGGTAAGTTCATGAAGTATACTGTATATTGCATTAATTTCATTCCTCACAACGATCTTCAATGCGGATGGAAAATATCACAACGCTGCTGGTCTTTCAGTCACCTTGAACCCTCCCACGGACTATACTTCACGATCGACTCTAGGCTCGTTGATGCAGGAAACTGCATCTCCTTCACCACGGACTGGTCTGGCGGCTCGTCGGCTCCTGCAGGGTATCAGGCTTTAGTCTGGATTGCCGATCTCACCCAGCTGGGTCAGGGACTGCGTTGGGCAATCAACTATGCCCTCATGGCGTACAAGTCGTACCAGGAATCGACCTACGCCATGTCGATTATTCAACTGTGTTGCAACTTTGCGTGGGGGCTTGTCTATACCTTTATCTATTTCTCGCGCAACCCCCTTGGGTAGTTCAACATCTGCCTCTATCTGTTTTTCAACGTCTTCATTATGTCGTTTGCTGTCACTTTCGCTCCGTGGGAGTGGTGGCATGCCCCGATGGTTCAGCTGAATGTTGGCGGTATATTCCTCTTGGGAACGATTGCCTTCATTTTGGCCCATGTCGCCCTGGCCCGGAAAGTAGGGACAGGACGCGCCGCCAATTAGGAGGCGTTCTTCTGCTTGGAATTTCTCATTGCGGGAGCCTGGTGTCAGTTGCTTAGTAGGGGAAGTAGCCGCAAAAAATCATATCCGTTTTAGCGTTGCAAAACGCATTGTTGATATCTGGCCTGCTGTCTGAGCCAATTAGACAGTTCACACTCATTCTTGTTATTGATTTACCCCTTGCAGACATATTCTTTACTATCACGCAGGAGCACCATACAGGTAGGTATGCGACAAGCCAACTGGAGTCCTTGATAAAGCCTGCTTGCTCCTTTGACGTTCCGCTCGCTTACTTTAGAATCTTCCTTAACCACGTCTGGCATTATATAAACGTAAATACGGACAGCAGTTCCTGTCATATGAACTTGGGAGCCTACAGCGGATGAAGTAGAGTTCCGAGCGTAGTTACGGGGTTTATTCACCCGAATTATTCGAGCGCAGAAGAACCAACAGAGAGAAGCGGAAGTAAAGGCACGCATACTAGTAGGAGAACAGGAGAACTCGTCCGCAGATATATCAAATCCCTTGTCAGATAGCACCGTCCGATTCCTCATTGGAGCGCGCCGGGGTCACCATATTTCAGTTTGGAAGCAATCTCAACTGGTAGAATGCCACATCGCAAGCCGCGGCCGTCCACACAGCAACATCCTGCAGAGAGGCGGAGCGAAAAAGCTGGTCCCGTTCGTCTCTGTCGTATTTATAACTGCACCCAAAGCGTATTTTCTCATCTCTGCGCACGATGACTGTCTCCAGAGGAGCCCCCAGCCGAACATCCTTGGATCGGGTGATCAGCGAAGCCTCATGCCTCCCCAGAGCATAGTTCCATTCGCTATGAAAGTACCAGTCTTCCTCGTTAAAAATCTTACCGTTGCCCTTGGGATGAAACAAGGAGTTGGCATATCCTAGCGACGCGAGGGCGAAGGGAACTACTCCGTCCGCAGTGTACGCGCGTAATATTTTGGTCGGCAATTTGCAGCTGTCGAGACTTACAATGATAGAACTTTGCGTGGGTGACGTGGTGAGGGCTGACTGTGCGATATTTCGCAGGAAGCCAGCTGCATTTTCGCGTGAGAAGTTGCCAATAGTCAGTCCAAATATAAGAATGCAACGAGGAAGGTGATGGATTTCAGGTGTGTTCTGCAACCAATGCAGACCATCGTCGAATGTGCCGTGGAGGGCAGCAAACCGCACGTGGTGGAAGCGGTCCATGGGGATGGCCTGAAGATTCGAGGCCAACTCAGAGTAGCTGAGATCGAGAGCGTAGTATGTGATCGATTTCTTCCGCTCTTCAAACGCGTCAAGCAGAAGGATAACCTTGTCCAGACTCCTGTATAGGGGTTAACGCCACCCATTTCTATTTAGTACTGATTCGCTGAACTGGAGGAAGAAGCCCTTACGCGCTGCCCATGTCTACGACAAGACTGTTCTCGGCTATAGAAGCTGCCATCTTCGAAGCCTCGGCCTTCAGAATACGTAATTCTTCGTGCCGGGGGTAAAAGTCGGCAGCATGGGAGTGGTGGTTCCAGTGCTGGATGCCATCTGTGCTGTAGAAAAGAAGAGCCGGGAGGGTTTTCACCTTTTCTTTAAGACCTTTGACGACTTGATCGGGAATTGAGCTCTCGAACTTTGATTGTCGAATATCAATAATAGGGGGAGTTGACATCATCGTCATGGTGGCTGATTCTTAGACTATTATAATGTGGAGCATACAATGGGGAAGCGCCGATGGGCAACTAAAGGCACAGGGGATGGAGAGAGGACCTTCATTTGACTTCCTGAATTTTCCCCTTCCCTTTCCCTCTACTTGATTCGTTTTTGCTCACTACTGTCAAAACTACTATTACTTCCGTTTTTCCCCGTCGTTTTTTGCTCTTGCCACTGTTCGATATCTGGCACACCATCCCTTACAGCCATGTGCAGCACACCTGACCAACTCAGAGAGCATCAGCGCTCAGAGATGCAGCCACTGTGCAATGCTAGACATTAAGTAATTCAATCTTCGCTGTCTTTTACACATTTGATCATCGGCCCACCCCTCGCTTCCCACTCCCAATTGCGAGACAAACAGATCCTCTGGGTCCCACTTCCGCTTGATTTCCAGCAGCCGCCTGTAATTTGCGCCCCAATATACCTGCGGAGCATCGCCTTCTAGATGATCCCCTAGATTCCTGTACGAAACTCTGAAACCGGGCTCGATATTGTACAGCTTCCGCATCTGGACGCTGTGGAGCTCTTCCAAGCTTCTGGCCTTCTCCTGCGCGGTAGGTGTGCTCACACTGCGCACGTAGTTGATCAAGTGGGCCGCTTGCCGCCATGCCTGGTGCATCGAGGTGTCCGTATGCTTCTTTTCGGTGTTCGCTGTAACATTTCCGCCGAGGTTGCTGGTGAACAGAAGGTCGCCCGGTCCCATGGGAAATTGTTCTAACTGGTTCGCTAGATGGAGTGGCCCTTGCTCGGAGTTGAAGAGATCCTCCGATACCAGGACGGAACCAGTGAGGATTCCGTAATTAGCGGGGAGAATGTCAGATTCTTTTCGGAGCACATCGCTGACCTTTGAGAGACACCTGGAGGCCAGCCTGAAGGGAAGGGTGGTAGATTCAAGGACCTTCACAATAGACAGCATGTTTTCGGCCGCTCGTCGAGTGTCGGTTGTGTTCATCGAATAGAGAGTGAGACTTGCATTGACCTGATGCTCGGATAACGGTTGAAGAATAAACTGGCCTGGTATACCCTGCTGGTTGAACGAGCGAAGAACAGAGAAAAGACCGGCGACTCCTCTTGTCCAGAGCAACGAGTCATTCCGATGACCTGTTACTGCCACCTCCGATATACAGACAGGGTCATTGTGATGCACTCTCATCGTAGCACGCGTGACAACGCCAAAAGTGCCTCCGCCTCCTCCTCGCAATGCCCAGAAGAGGTCCGGGTTCTGGCTGTTATTGGCCACGACAACCTCTCCCTAGACAGCAACGGTGGCATCAGTATAGAGCAGTCACCATATCCCAAAGTACCAGAAATGTCTTTACCAACCTTGGCCGTCACGATCTCGAATTCGAGGACATTATCAACAGCGAGACCATTAATGAAACTATGGAAACTGGACACTCCGCCTCCCTGGAGAAAACCGCCCGTCGCACCCACAGTAGGACACTCCCCTCCGACGACCACCCAACCATCGCGGGCACCTCTCGCATACATCTCGCCCAGAAGGACTCCAGCGCCCACGCTCACTGCTGGGCCCTGGTCTATATCCGAACTAATGGCCCGGAAGTTGTCATGATACTCGATCTGCTTCATGCGATGGGTGTGTATCTGGAACGAGTCGGGGGCACTCGACCGCCCCGCGGTGTCATGGCCAGTATTACGGACAACCAAGCGAACTCGATGGCGTTGCGCAAACCTCACTGCTGCCTGAACCTGGTCAACGGACTCGACCGCGGCTGAATACAATGGAATCCGGCCTTGATGACAACGCGCACCACGTGGAGAATGCGCATGGCACGTCTCGTCCTCAGTGCGACCAGTCTCCCATATCCAGCCTTGTAAGGCGCCTATTGTGTCACGTAGCCGACGGGGCGATCAGTCAACATGCTGCCATGGGCTCGATTAAAGAACGGAGTAGACGTGTGAGCTTACCGGGCTGGGAAGCTCTCCAACCACTATCCCTCGCAAGATCGGCTAAGTTCTGACAGGCGGGATAATTGTAGAATGGGTCATGGCAAACGTGAGCGACGGGTCGGACTTCGAGCAGATCCCCTCTTAGGGTAGTGTTGAGAGCTGTCCACTCCGATGCCGCCGGCCAACATGGTTCCCCTGGTCGACAGCGGCAGGTCAGGGTACCCGAAAATCCCAGCCAAATACAGCCGAGGAATGCGCCTAGTATGGAGCTAAAGATCAACGTCATGGTTACTGCGGACAGCACAGCCCGATGGTTAAATCTCTATCTTTGGTTCAATTCACGGCCTTTGAAATGCTAGCAACTTACTTGAGACTAGAAAGCGAGATCGCAGTAACGAGAGAACAAGCACAAATTGTAACAAAGAAGACGAGATATGAGCCAAGCAAATCTAAGATGAGATGGAATAAATGATCTGTAAAGGAAAATTCAAAAACCTGTATGAGTTTCGAACTCCCAAAAAGTCGGCTGAACCGCCGCCTACAGTTCTAGGATAGTTTACATCCCGACAATGATGGCATCAACGAACCCGTGACTACATTGCTTGGTAAGTAGAAGTAAGGATATGTATGCTGTGGAAGCCTCAACTGTTCGAGAAACGTCATATGGCCTAACAACCCTGGAATACGCGAGGCTGGCTTAATGTGGTCAGGTCGATCTACCTTTTCATTATCTGCCGTACATATAAGAAAGAGATCAGAGCCTCGAATAGGGTCGCAGCTCAGCTGGCCACTGGAATGTGGCCTGTACCAGGTAGAACTCCTTACATGAAGGATGCTGTACCACCAATGCAGGAAAGAAACGTGTCGGAATATCCCCTCTGAACTGGCGGTATTACCATGGCCTGCTATATTATGTGGTTTCCGTCCTCAGCACCGCAAAACGAGCCAAAGCATACGCCCTCATTCAAGATGACTCTCATCAAGGCAGCTAGCGCGTCCTGTACAGAGGCCTACCAAGTTCTTAGTCTCGCCCTGAGATTCGATAATGAGGATCAGAGGCTCTGGTGGCACAGCACTGCTCCGATGTTTGCAAAAATGCTAGAATCCGCCCAATACACCACATCTTGTCAGTATCGCTACCTCATCACGTACAAGGAGTACGTGATTCCCAATCTCGGATGCTACCCAACAAACAGTTCTCCGCGCTGGTTGAGCATTCTCACTCGATACGGTACCCCGTTTGAATTGAGTCTGAATTGCTCCGATTCCATAGTGAGATACACCTTCGAGCCAATCAATCAACACACCAGAACCGACAAGGACCCATTCAATACACACGCCATCTGGGATAGTCTACAGCAACTGCTCCCCCTTGATAAGGGCATCGACCTCGAGTGGTTCCGCCACTTCAAGCATGACCTCACCCTCAACAGCGACGAATCTGCTTTTTTGGCTCGTAATGACCACCTGGTGGGCGACTCTATCAGGACGCAGAACAAGCTCGCCCTGGACCTGAAGGACGGCCGGTTCGTACTCAAGACGTACATCTACCCGGAGCTAAAAGCCATTGCCACCGGCAAGACAATTCACGAGCTGGTCTTTGGCTCAGTCCGCCGCCTGGCAGCCGGGGTCCCCAGCATCTTGCCCCCACTACACATGCTGGAGGAATATATCCGTTCACGCGGTCCGAACAGCACTGCCAGCCCCCGCCTAATGTCCTGTGATCTGACCAATCCAGCCAAGTCGCGAATTAAGATCTACCTGCTGGAGCGGATGGTTTCAATAGAGGCCATGGAGGATCTGTGGACCTTGGGTGGCCGGCGCCGAGACGCTTCCACATTGGAGGGGTTCGCCCTGGTGCGTGAACTCTGGGATCTCATTCAACTGTCGCCGGGGTTGAAGTCTTATCCGGTGTCGTACCTCTCCATCGGGGCTATTCCGGACGAGCGACTTCCGCTCATGGCCAATTTCACCCTGCACCAAGATGATCCGATCCCCGAGCCGCAGCTATATTTCACGACCTTCGGGATGAATGACATGGCTGTGGCGGACGCCCTGACGACGTTCTTCGAACGCCGGGGTTGGAGTGAAATGGCTCGCACGTACAAAAGCAATTTGAAATCGTACTAGTAAGTCGGACATTCCTCTATGACTACCTTTCTAGAACCTTGGATTGATGCTCGCTTCAGTCCCCATGCGGATCATGAGAACCTTAACTACCTCCACCCCTACATCTCCTTCTCCTATAGGAAAAGAACTCCTTATCTGAGTGTCTATCTTCAATCATTTGAGACAGGAGACTGGACAGTTGGTAAGCCGATTAATGCCCCCAAACCTCGTTGGCAGCACACCACAGATGAGATTCTAATGATACCGTAGCAAACGTATCCGACTCAATGGTCAAGTGCCGGGATGCGGCCTGTCAACCCACAGCCCTGCCTCCAAAACTGCCAAAGGCAGGCTTGACTCTGGCCACCACTCATGAACAGCTTGGAAATTAGTTCCGCGACGTAACCCGATGACACTGGCGGGCGGGCCGAAACTTTAACACTTCGATTGCACGAATTCTTCTGCATTTTTTCAACTCTAACTGCGTATCATCGTGATGTTAAGTTGTAGACCCAAGCTGGGAAGCCTAACTTTGGATCCTCCCTACTAAACCTCTATGACGCTGGTAAGGGGCTGGAGCTGCCAAGCTTTCGTTACTTTTTATGCTGTGAAGTGCTCAAGATAAGAGATTTGTCATATTCAACGAATATAATTGTCTAGGGGTACCATGAAGCTGCCTATCGTATTGTTCCACCGCACCCTACCTACCTGCGGATACTTTAAGTTAGCTTCAAACAGAGGGGTAAAAACAGCTTCATAGCCATAGCAGCAGACTTTAGTGCTAGGTGATGGTCTATTACGGTGTATTAGGATAGTCTCTATAGCAAGGATCCAACACCGAGCCTGTTGCATCAATGGATTTCACCACTCTAATGCTGACTGTGAACGCATGTGGAGATCAAAGAATGGAGTGACAACTCTAGCTAGTTCAAGTAGTATTGCTATTAACACTGGATATTCTACAGTGGGACTGCTAAACAGTCTTGTCGTAGCATGCCCCAATAAAGCCGTGAAACAAGCGAAGAGAATAAATATGTGCGAGACCTATTGCTCCTCATGATTAAGGATCTACCTATTAAGAAACAGATATCTGATGTATAATTACTTTGCTCTAATACATTACGAGATGATCCGAACAATTATGCCAGTGAATCATTCTTCCAGAGCAAGGGGTCGGGCAACTCGTATGATTCCCACATACAGATACACGCAGCTGTTGTCCACGCCTCCGAAGTCCTCATTTACCATTCAATCTATATATTGAACAGATACGGCGACTTAGGGACACAGCTGAGACTTACGCTAAACGATAGCAATCGTGCCAGCTCTGGGACAGCTAAGAAATGCTGGTTGCGAGACGTAAGGGCTGGTATACGCCTCGGAGGTAAGCATTGACGCCAGGGCTGTTAGAACAAAAGACGGTGAGGACCCGTTCAGCCAGCCATTACTCAAAACAGACATTGCAGGCAAGAATGCCGCACTCCTTGATAGATACTGTTCGTGAAGCCGTGCAAGTTTGGGATTGTGGTACTCTGCAAGAAGGGTTTGCCGCAAGGAGAAGTTGAATACTCTCAAAAAACGCCAGATACCCGGCAAGAGCTGCGATGCAAGGGTCCGAGGCCAGTCTCACGTAGGTGTTAGCATTAGAACCCCAGCGGTGAGAAGGAAACAATTGCTACAAATACCCAAAGTTGGATAAATGACACGCACATATAATTCTCTTAACGTTCGTCAACAGATTGCCTCTACAAACTGAACGTTGCTTCTTGTCAATATGACTTCCAAGTGTCCGAATACGGGATCGATCGATAGGAAATACACAACGGCCAATGGGTGTCCATTTATGAAGCCTGAAGGGCCCCCAGCCGACGGACGCACTCTCGCCCTCAATGACCACCATTTGGTGGAGTCGTTGGCTCATTTCAATCGGGAGAAGATCCCCGAGCGAGTGGTGCACGCCAAAGGTGCCGGGGCTTACGGGGAATTCGAGGTACGTATCTCCTACGGAGGCGTCGATGGTGTGGCGAGAACACATGCTGATTTGAACCAGGTGACTGCTGACATCTCTGATATATGTAACATTGACATGCTGCTCGGCGTGGGAAAGAAGACGCCGTGTGTGACTCGCTTCTCAACCACCGGGCTGGAGCGAGGTTCTGCTGAGGGCATGAGAGACTTGAAAGGAATGGCCACCAAGTTCTACACCAAGGAAGGGAACTGGGACTGGGTGTGCCTCAACTTTCCCTTCTTCTTCATCCGGGATCCGCTCAAGTTCCCAAGTCTGATGCATGCTCAACGACGTGACCCGCGGACCAACCTCCTGAGCCCCAATATGTACTGGGACTGGGTGACATCGAACCACGAGTCTCTGCACATGGTTCTGTTGCAGTTCAGTGATTTCGGCACCATGTTCAACTGGCGATCCTTGAGTGGATATATGGGCCATGCCTACAAGTGGGTCATGCCGGATGGCTCCTTCAAATACGTGCACATCTTCCTGTCGTCGGACCGCGGACCCAACTTCAGTCAGGGTGAACAAGCCAAAAGCAACGCTGATCTCGACCCTGACCACGCTACACGGGACCTGTACGAGGCCATCGAACGGGGAGACTACCCGAGCTGGACGGCCAACGTCCAGGTCGTGGATCCTGCCGAAGCTGCCGATCTCGGCTTCAACATTCTCGACGTGACCAAGCACTGGAACCTGGGCACCTATCCCAAGGATCTCCCAACAATCCCCGCGCGCCCGTTTGGTAAGCTGACTCTGAATCGCAACCCGGACAACTATTTCGCTGAAGTCGAGCAACTCGCCTTCTCCCCCTCCAACATGGTACCCGGCGTCCTGCCTTCGGAGGATCCCATCCTGCAGGCACGCATGTTCGCCTACCCAGACGCCCAGCGCTACCGGCTCGGCCCCAACCACCAGAAAATCCCCGTCAACCAGTGTCCGATGACCTTCAACCCGACCCTCCGCGATGGCAAAGGTACTTTCGACAGTAATTACGGGTCTCTGCCCGGTTATGTGTCCGAATCGCAGGGTGTGAAATTTGCACAGCCCCAGGAGCATGACCCCAAGTTCAACGCATGGCTGTCGCAGCTCTCATCCAAGTCTTGGATGCAGACCAATGAGAACGATTACAAGTTTCCGCGGGACTTTTACAACGCTCTTCCCGAGTTTCGGAGCCAGGAGTTTCAGGATAAGATGGTGGAGAGTATCATTGCGTCGGTGGCTCAAACTCGCAGGGAGATTCGAGAGAAGGTCTACCACACCTTCCATCTAGTTGATCCCGATCTGTCTGCACGTGTGAGGCAAGGGGTAGAGGAAGGTGAACGGTCCTTGGATCGATACTCCGCTGCCAGATTATAAGACAGGGTATTCTTAGGGGCCAATGAATATGCGTATCGTGTTTCCTTCATTGGACGTACACAAGATCCACGTCATTCGTCCGATCGTTCCATCTAATTAGAAGGTATGATGTGGAATGTAAGGAGCCAAGGTCTGCGAAGAACCAAGAATCGGTCGAAGACACCTGCAACAATGGCGAGCACTGTAACTTTGGCAAAGTGGTCTAGATGGCCATCTGAATCCTAGGTATGTAAAGGTGCCTCACCACTCATCGTAACCATCCATGCGGCTGCCCCTAGCTTATCTTTGAGCATGCTGCCAATAATGGTAATAGATCCATTCCATCGCTGGAACATATCCCCTTTCCTCTTAATTAACACAGCCAGAGTGTACCATAAGAAGTATAGGCTATAGGCTCAAGGGGACGTATGCTCTAAGCTACAGCAGTCCACTTCTTCTTTAATGAGTGTTTGAGGATGTATTTTCTATATTGGTAACTAGTGTACAGGTATAGCATATTATATCATCTTTGGGAAATAGATAGGGTTAATCTTCTAGTCTCTCCAAATCGAAGCACAGAAATGGCAGCCATGATGTCAATCAACCTAGGGACGGTTGAGGTTCGTAGACATGTCCCAACAGCAGATTCGCCTCCACCGTGGGTGCTTGAAGGCGGTATCTGACCTCTCCTTGTTGAGGCACGGCCGTACATGGCGACTAGTCCAATGACTCGGTTTGCTAAAATAAAATGGCCAACTCGCATGGTATGCAGGTGCCGTTTCTACACAGTTGCGATTACTCTTTGTTTTTGAGCTCCGAACAATGACTCGGAGCAACTGATTTGCGCACTCACACACCAGGTTCAATTAAGACTAAGACAACTCAAATGTACCAGTGGAATAGCTGTTAGGATCAAGGGGAAGCATCTCGTGAAGCAAGTAAATAGTTAGTAGTCCTCACTCAGCTGGGGACCACACCAGTGTCGAATTTCCGACTTCGACCTGTCGCAACACGGAACTTTTTTGGCTTGAAAATCTCAAGGCATATAGAAACGGTAATCTCAAACATACCTTAGAATTTCAGCCTTGTTTATTGTTCGGTTATGACGTGGTGAGAGATCAGAGTCGACAACATTCTGAAAATTGGACGGGATGGGAATCCTATGGTTGCTTAACTCACATATTTGAGATCATGCTGATCAGTTCCTCGGGCAGAGCATTAAAGGAGGCCATAGCGGCGTTTCCTAGCTAAGCATGTTTCTGGTTGTGCAGCGGAGAAGAGTAAGGACAAACAGTCCGTCCCTTGTGTCTATTGTTGGGGACAGTAGCGTATCTGTAAATCTGCAGGAGTCAATTTTCCTGCCGGGGGAGTGCGCACAGTCGGACTGCTCCATTTCGCGCGATCTTGGCATAGACTGTAAGCTAGTCCCGCACAGGCTTGGTGGAAACTCCCACCCAGGCCTAGACTGGCTGTGGGGTGGATATGGGTTGATCCAACCCATGTGGATTATGGGTAAACCATTGGGTATCTCACCCACCCCTTATATCCACGCGGGTTGAACTGTGGATAATATAGATATCCATACTATTTAGTCAGGTGCCTCTAGTATTTAGATTCCCCCCTATTTTTCGAGTATTCTAACCACACCACTAGGATATCTATATACTTAATAAGTAATATAATAATAATTCAGTATAAATATTATATATTACCTATTATATAAGCTAAAATAAGTTTATAGAGGGGAGTAGTGGTGCCCCCTCAGCTTAGGCTGAAAGGTAGCGCAGAGATATATCTTACCTCCACTATCCTAACTACCGTCCTCTAAGATTTAAAAACTACTATAACTCTAGTTTTTCTTAGTATATCCATTTTTTATTTTAAATATAAATATATATAACTATTCTCTATCTATCTATATAGAAATATATTCTTACCTAGGCCTAGATCTAGTTAGATAAGCTTATCAGTTTAATGGACCCTAGATCACGTGCACCTATATTGAACCTGATGGTTCAACCCATATCCATGTGGGTTGGATTATGGCCAACCCTTATCCAACCCAAAGCGTGGATTGGGTTGCGTGGGTGTGGATTGGTGGGGTGGGTAAGCCAGTCTACCCAGGGCACAGGCACCAAGCACCAGGCACCAATCCCCCACTAGCCGCGATTATAAAAGACGCGCTATCCTTTTCTTCTGCTTCACAATGATATGCTATCCATGCACAACGATAAAAATGGGTGGCTGGGCGATTTTTTGCGCTATCTGCGCAGGTCCATTCTCCAGCCAGGTCGACATGGACTGCGAAGGGACCGACGAAAGGGCCTATCGTTTCGAGATCCTCAAAGACTGCAACCTGGAGTGGCTCGATGAATTACGTGCCCTGGGAATGAATCCCAGCGCTACCGGAAGTGACAAGTTCGTAGTGACTCGCTATGACCGTCTTGATAAAACTAAGAGCCCTGACTTTCTAGGTCGTTTCTGACGGGATCTGGTCGGTACTTTGACTATGTAAGTTAATCGATCCCGTTGACATTGTTCACGCTGGCACTATGACTTGCTGAAGCTGGAGGTCTTGCTAGGGTGGAATTGAAGTCGTTGCTGGGAATCGTACGTTGCTCTGAATGCATAGCCCTCCTAGGCACTAGAATTAGCCGTCAATGATAACATCGCATTACTAGATATGAACATCCCGTACCCGAAGAGTGATATTGTGCCCATGGTCGCGTATGTTTTGCGTCGCCCCTTATCTCCTGTTCCAGTTTACCCGCTAACCCTCACAGATATCACGACTTTGCGGAAATCGGCGAATCACATGTGTTTCCCTTTCACTCTGTTTGCTACGAGGTTCTGAGGAGGTGCATCTCCCTGAGGAAGCCAGGTGAAATTCGGGGACATGCGCTGTATCACGTTTTCGAACAGGCCAACGGTGGCCGGTACGTCCGGCTGCAACTTGACTATGGCGACCCGGATCCTCCCGCAGAGCAGGTGTGGGAGGTTATCCGAGGGCAGGAGGTAAGTAATAAGCTGAGAGCAAACAATGCGGATTAAAAATTTAATAACATGCCCAGATTCTAGTAGTAAATCCAGTCAACATACCGGAGCTCGAATCGGAGATCAGCGAAATCAAGTGCTTGTTAGACACGAAAACCTACCTGGATAATGAGACGAGGCTCCATGAAGAAGATATTTTCGGTCGTCTTCCGACCGAACTGCGACACGAAATCTTCAAGCACCTTCGCCCAGAATCAATTTTGGCTCTTAAGGCGGCCTCGCGGGTCATGCACACTACCTTGATTCCGCTCTCCACGTGGGAGGCCAAGTTAGTCGATACATATCCATGGCTGTGGGAAGTGCTCGAACTCTCGGTTTTCCAATCGCAGGAGATCGAAGGGAAAGCTTCTATGCTGCTTCTCGCTTGCAGGGAGCACGGTGAGTCCACGGGCAAAAGCTATGGCTATACCCTAGGCCTTGCCAACAGGAGAAGGATTTGGGGAGTATGCGAACAGATTCGGAGTCGATATTTGGAATAGCGGGCCGCTGTTACTAGGCAGGTACTGTGCCGACTGTTATTGCATCCATGTTGGCAGACATTGATGTAACTTTTCAACCGCTAATCACACGATACGCTGGTCTTGATATGCCTGATTCCGTATTCAGAGACTTGTTACAGTTTTGATTGGTAAAGATGAAGCCCGTATGAAACATAGGCTGTATAGTCCGGTACTTCTCTTGATAAATAATCTAACGGTAAAAGTAAGTCCAGACAGTCAACGTAGGGACAACAATAGCTAACCGAAATATCGCCGATCGAAGTTCCTTCGGAGTTTGAGGATATTCAGATTCAAACCGGGGCAGTTCTTTCTTTTCATCGCAGTGCGCCAAGCCCAACACTGTAGTATTTTTGTCTTGGGTGCCCTGGCATTCTCTGCCCGGGGCTACATTCAAGGGGTGAGTGAATATCGGTGCTCCTCTCCTGGAGAGCGGGAAGATGTTATCAGAAGATGGGAAGCTTTAATTCATTCTATTCATGATGGAAATACGCTTTGAGAGCCATTTATGTTCATCCGATAAGCCTAGAAGAAAACTCAAACATTATAATAGGCACTTCATTAGTGTTAGTTGCTAAAAGGCATTCCTATATTATAATCAGGCAATATCGAGTCTTTTTGAAAATAGTGTACTACTCGATTCATCGAGCACTATTTGTCTACTGATTATTTATCTTTCCTCAGGGATATGTAAGGCTCTTATTACTTTGGGTGACTGTTTATACCAGTAGAGTTTTAGAGTTTAAAGAATACCAAATGCTACCATCCTCACATATATATTTTGAATGTTTGGTGGTCATAGAACGTGGAATGTACTAGACAGTCTAGACAAAGCGGCTATCCGCAGGGCTACTGTCACCCACTCCTGGATCAGGGGAACACGATTATGTGTCTTGTAGACTTAAGTATCAATTCCATATTCAGCTTACAGCTATAATCTGTTTGTCTGTTGGGTGGGTGGAGGTTGTGGGGCTCCATAGCTCCTGGACAAGTGCCTGGCAGGCTTTCTTAAGGGTTCCAGTCACCAAATCTGCGTCGGCAATGGGCTGGATATATCTGCTAGTAGTGAGCCACCCCTTCAGTGGCCTGCCAAACACTATATCTATTAATTTGAAATTTTGAGAGATCGGTCCGAAGACGGGAAGGAGGATTGAAGTTAGTGTGATAGAAGAAGTACTCATGAACGGAGGCCAACATCTATTAGTTTAGATATTTATAGAATTGACGCTATGGTTTGAACATCCTGTGAAGATGGGGAGGGTTTATTGATTCATGACAGGTATGATTATAACTTGGAACCTGACCATAGCACTCCTTTTTGCGATTAGATGGCTTAATTAATGATTCTATGGCAGCTACAACCTCCGGTCTTTCTTCTCTTATAACATCAATCCAACACCTTATGCACCAATAATGCGGTCTAGAATAGTTGGCAATTGATTTACCTGCCCCAGAATGTTAGTATCTGCCTGTGTGTGAGGGATAGGTACGGGGGACTTACCTTTGGTTCACGCATCATTGTGAAATGATTGCCCTCTATGAAATCCACGCTGATGTTTTCCGAGCCAATCAACTTCTCCCACCCGTAGGTTCCGAGGCTCTGTCTACTATCAAGTAAGAACTTGACGCTCTTCGCCTCGGCCTCAGTCCTCGGAAACTGCTTCTCATCCGACTCCGAGACGAGTCCGTCGCGAGCCCAGATGATATGTGTTCTTGGTGCTTCTTCCGGATCCATGGGATATGGTATGAAATCGGTAAGGTTCTTGATTGATGCCTCGAAATGGGGGATCAACCAGTTAGGTGCAGATCCTTGAGTTCCCAGCAATCCCAGTGAGTCGACGAAATGTAGCAGCTCCGATGGTAGTGGCTGCAGATTGATTGGACATGGCGAGTCGATCAAGAAGAGAGCCTCAATCTCTTCTCCCATTTCGATCAGTTGGAATGCCACTGCATACGCCAAAATACCGCCAGCAGACCATCCTCCGAGAACATATGGACCTTCGGGTTGTCTTCGCCTGATTTCGGAAAGGTATAGTGAAGCAACACCATCGACTCCGGTCGTATACTCGGAAGGAGTTTTCATGAAAGGGCAATTGAGACCGACGACACATAGATCTGGTGAAATTCTGGGAAGAGCAGCATATGAGGTTGCCGAACCTGATCCGTCGGGTAGAAGGAATAGAGTCTTTGAAGCAGTCTTAAGACTGCCCTGCAGTACGATTGAGGTTGCAGGTCGAGTCGACTGACTGATGTCTTGCACTTCGAAGTCGTAGTCAGGCTTAGCGCTGCTGTCGAGCACCGAGCTTCCAGTCAAAGAGCTCGTTGATGATTTCGCATCGTCGCTGACGCTGTATGGTGTAGTGGCTCTGGTCTGATCGCCACTACCCATGATAGATGCAATAGCCAACCTTGCCTGGTCGACAGTAGGATAGTCCACAAAGAACGAGGACGGAATGTCCAAGTCCAAATCCTCGCGAGCTCTCCCAGTGATGGTAAGTGACATCAAAGAGTCAACACCAGCTTCAGCAAAGTGCTGCACCTTAAGCAGCTCCCCCAGGTCTACACCGAGTTCTTCACAGACGATTGCTAACAACCCATTTATAGCTTCGCTGAAAGATGGACTCGCGGGTACGGATTCAAGAAGAATCTCTTTGATCATCTCAGTGTTATCTGCATCCGCCGTAGCCGGGCCTTCTTCTGTGGTAGCTGTCTTAGTTTCATCGGAAGAAGTGTCCGCAAGCTTCATGATCACTGCTTTCACCGGGCCGATTGTAGGGAAGTCCGTGAACAACGAAGACGGGATAGCTTCCAAGTCAAGTTCCTCGCGAATACGTCCTGTGATTGAGAGCGACATGAGTGAGTCCAGGCCAATATCAGCAAAGGCAGTGTCATCTTGAAGTTCCGACGGCTCCACACCCAACTCCTCGGCTATTAGAGCCAGGAAATCATCAATGATTGCTTTATTCTGCTTTTGACGCACAGCAACTGGAGCCTGTGGCTTTTGACTGGCTTTAGTCACAGTCGCGTTGGGATTCGGTTGAGGCACAGACTTTTCGAGGGATTTCGAGTCCTTGACAGGCTTGTCTTTGATGGCAGCCATTCGAGAAGAGGTAGATGCGACTCCCTTGAGAGGAGGTAAGAGTTGATTGATGACAGCTCGGGGGATCGCCTTGAACTTCACACCTCCTACGAGCGCAACCATCTCTTCTCCGTCAAAAATATAGACATCGCCCGACATGGTCGCTTTCTCGACCTCGTGCATCTTGACATAATTGCTGTATGACTTGCTGCTCGATAGAGGTTCAGCAATTTGTAGATGATCCCATCTGTGAGATACGTAAACTTGCTTCTTGGTGTCTGTGGCGCCGGATCCGTTCAGAATAAATCCTGAAAGATGGGAGATATTGTCGATGAACCGAGGGTCTATCTCAAATTCACCATAGTCATTGGACGGCTGGAATTCCAATTTCGAGGTGGCTTCGAGGTTCTTCTGATCCATGACTACCTCCTTCATACCATGGTATTGTTTGTCGTACTCAACGAAGCCCGAGAAACCTTCGTAAGCTTCCTTGCGATCGAGTTTCCGGTATTGGCGACCTTTGACACCATCTTTCATAACGTTGATCCGCGATCGGACCAGATATGCCAATCTCGACCATTCTGCACGCCAGATTTTGGTGTCTCCGTACTCAACATTACAGGTAGCATGCAACACTCCCAAGCTGCCGTCAGCAGACACGCTGTTATAACTGATCTTCACTAGTTTCAGTGGTTGGTCGGCCGTGGCAGTTATTCTGAAGACTTGCTTCTCTTTTTGATCACGACCTTTGGCGATTAAGGGTTTCATGATTTGCAGAGCACGCACATCCATGCCGACATTTTCTGTCTTCTTGATCTTATGGTAAATGTAGCCCGCCAAAGTCAACGCCGACTCAGCGTAAACACCTGCAGGGCAAAGAGGTGATCCATTCACCAAATGACCGGTCACTGCGTGGTTTAGATCAGGATCAGACAGATCTGATTCGGCAACAACAGTAATCTTTGTTTGTCCAAAGTCTTCCTTGGTTACCTTCTGTACAGATGGTGTCGACAAATGGCGCCCCCGACGCTTTGGAGCGGCTGACTCGACAAGTTTTTGGCCTTTCGTCAGACACCAATTGTTGTTGTAGTCGAGCCAATAGTTTTTCTCCTCGAAGCAGTAGCTCGGAAGAGCTAGCACGGTGTGAGATGCTTCGTACTCACGATGGACTTCTTCCCATTCAATTGTAAGTCCCTTCGAATAAAGGTTGCTAAGTGTGCCGGACAATGTCTTCCACACATCTTCTTGCTGGCGGAGCGACGGCAAAGTCAATGCCTTGCTTCCGAGAGATGATTTGATGAAAGTAGAGCAGACAGGTGCGGGACCGATTTCAAGCCAGACTACATTGTTATCAACAACTCCTTTGGACTCGGCAGTTTTGAGGGCACCCATGAAGTTCACAGCTTCTCGAGCTTGGCGGCACAGATAATCCGGTCCAAAGACATTGCCGTCAGTTACAATGTCCCCAAGTAGAGGAGAGATAACGGGGATATTTGGAGTTCCGAAATTGACTGAGCTTGCTGCTTTTTCATATTGCTCAACGATGACTTGGATCTGTGCTGAATGGAAGGCATAAGCTGTCGATAGCAAGGAGCACTTGATGTTGATGGCTTTGAGTGTTTTCGAGTAAGCCTCCATTTGCTCTGCCGAACCGCTGATGACAGTCTCATTGGGGCCATTGATGCAAGCCACTTCAATGTCCTTATCACCGAGAATCTCTTTAACAGAGCTCACAGATGCCGCAATGGCTAGCATCTTATGACTGCCCGGGGTGCAGAGCTCTTCAAGGAGTTGAGCTCTTCGTCCAACGAGGTAAATTGTGTCACTGGCGGACAAGACACCAGCTACATTCAGTGCAGCATACTCTCCGAGGCTGTGACCAAGAACGCTGTTTGGAGTGATG